CTGGTGGTGTATAGACTAGAGTGAGGCGGTCTGGTTGTTGACTGTGTCTGGAAACACTGGAAAGTCAAGAACTACCCTCATAAAACCACCGGGACGCTCAATTAATTCCTCTCATACAATGAGGGTTCAGTTCCACATGGACCAGACGGGCGTCCATCTGCCGTCCCATAGCGTCCCTCTCCCGTTTAGTCGGGCAGTTACTACTTGGCGGGCTGAAGGTGAAGTGACCTAACGCTGCAGTGTGCGGTGCACATCAGTGTTTCTGTTTAGGAATATGAAACTTTAAGGAGTGTGTAACAAGTTTTTTCCTGGATCAACATTACTTCATTTAGGTAAGAAAACATTATTTGAGGACGATTTTGCAATATTTGCTAATGGGACGAAGACCATTAAATTGCTATGGAATACCTATCATATTGAGGACCACAAACGTTCAGAAAACGTTTTGACTGTAGGCTTTAAGAAGCGGCTTTAAATCCTATTATAATCCATCGCTGACTACATCTACACCGCAATCTATACACATTTCACGTGCATCGCTAATCTCTTCGCTAATACAGATCCTGGTCTTTTTTTTCTTGCTTAGCAAACCTTAGCTGTCTTGTAAAATTTTCACGACGCATTCATACATTACAGTTTAGAGGCAGATAAATCCGATATTCCTGTTTTCTGCGTGGCTCTGTGAGGTCGGTCCCTGCCATGGATGGTGTGAGACCATCCATGCTGCCGATCGTTCGACGCGCTAGTTTTATTGGGGGTTATATGACCGAAGGACATCGACGGCCGACGGAACTGCCTCGCCTGACGGGGTCACCAATGTGGAACACGCTGCCGGTTTTTCCGAAGTAAAACTGGAGATTTGCTAGACAAAGTTAGACTAAGTGAAATTAACCCTCGCCCGCACATGGGGGGGGGGGTGGTTGCCCCCCCAGGTAGTCTTTCTGCTCTGCACTCAACATTTTTAGAGCTAGAAGGCTGATTTTTGGTATAGCTGCTCCTCTATCCTTTCTTGATGTCCACTGAAAATTTCAAGTTTCTGTGATTTTTGGTTTCGGAGATATGACCTTGTTTTTCAGGTCATGTCATGACACAAATGGCCAATTCTCAACATCTTGCGTTTGCCATGGGCCTTATGAGCTTTTGACACCCTGATTTCGGCCTTTTTTGCCAGTCTTACCTCCTACCTATCATGGAACATGTTGTTCGATGATGTACAGGGGTCCAGGTCAGGGTCAAGGTCAACCTAGGTCACCTAAGATAATTGCGTTTTAGGCAAGCTGAATTTACTTTTTGAAGTTTTTTGACTGCATTTTTGGTAAAAGCTTCTCAGATCATGATTTCATGTAATATGGACCCAAAAACAATCGGTGCACACATCAGTATACACACAGACACACACAGACATACAAACACATATAATTGACCTTGACCTAACTTGACCTGAAATGACCTCAGCAGCAAAATTCTGGTCGGGTAGTGTGAAAAAGAGGTTCTAGCTGGCTTGGCACCAGAAAACAGCATCGTCCTCGGTATTTGATAAGCAGCACACTTGATATCCAACGGTGACCCAAAACAGCAACATTTTTTAGTTTGACCTGACCTGGAAGGTCAATGACTGACCTGAGAAGGTAAAACTGGGTATCATTGGATTCGTCTCTTCCCAAAGAATCTTTTTGGTCTTTACTGCTAAGCTCTATCTCCAACAGGAACGAAATGGCGCGGGGGGGGTGGCAACCACCCCCCCCCCCATGTGCGTTCTAGGATGGGAAAATGGCATGTGCGGGCGAGGGTTAATGTAGTTAGCCATATGAAAGCAAATGTTTGACAGAAAGTAAGCGGCCATTTTGTCGCTGCTGGAGACAACTGCCGGAAAACTAACTGCATTCCCGCAACATTCAATTACTCATCGATACGTATCAAATGAAGCAGGGCAGATTACCATATTATTTTTCTGAGGATGTCGGAATATAACAACATGTTAAAATACCAAAAAGGTGCAATATCCTTGTTTATAACACAGCCTTTGTTCCGAGTCTGTGCCTTTGGATGGATCTCATGTGCTTAAAATTTTCAGAAAAATGCACTAAGTATCCATTTGAATTATTACTTATGCCAACATGAATGGTAGAAGAATAATCAATTGTAATTTGTTGTCAAGTCTAGATGTGTTTTCTCCACTGTCAATGACTGATTTCTTCTTGCTGAGTAATGTTTTGCAACCTATTAATTTCTATGCCAGTGGTGGCTCAAATATTGCTGTTATAGCTATGCAATGTGTAATCTTATATTGTTTAAATAAAGTTAGGCAAATTCAACTGAAATCATGACTGTAATATTTGAAATATGTCATCTGATTGACCTTCATCATACCAACATATAGCCTGGGCAAGGATTATGTCAAAAATGGCAAGGCAAGAGGAAAATAGAACAAGTCAGATTGTATTGCCACTCCTTTAGTCAGAGAATGAGGACAAGTAATAAGCAAAAAACACAGATCACCTTGAAATCTTGAAATCAATGTCAAAGCCTACCTACCTGACAACTTGTATGGTCACCCTCTTTTTAAAGTAATGCAATGCATTAGGTAGGTACATTGCTAGGTGTGAAATTTATGGAGAACTTCACAAACCCCATTACAAATCAGTTTTATAAGCATATGCTTCAAATTGCTATGCTTCCCACACTAACTGAAAGGTTTTTGGGCAAACTCATGAGCAAACTCCATGCCAGCATATCTTGTTATTGAGTAAACATGTTGACTACTTAACTGACCATTCCTTTTTCTATAATTATATTAATTACAATTCTACACAGACCTGTAGACAATTCATGACACATTTTCCACCCACAAAACTATTACATACACAACTGAACACAAAGCCTATGTTTAAAACAATCACATATCTGTTGCATTTTTGCTGTATAGGTACCTGTCTATAAAACATGAATAATTTGATGTTGTGAGCCTTGTGTCCAGATGAATGTTTGTGGTATTGGTGTTACAACAAGGAAATTGAAAATTTGTCATGCAGTTTAGGGAAGTTATACCTAGGTAATGTTCAAAATGTAGTGAAATGCCTTCATTTACTAAATCTCCACATTGAAGAGCTATATATTCTTTTGAAGGAAATTATTAGGTACCTATTTACATTAGAGCTAGGTAGGTAGTTACCTGCATGTTAGCATCTTTCAATGTTGTTCTTTATCAATCAAAATGAATGGAAAGTTAAAAAAAAATAAGTACCTACAAGTGATCAGATAGGATAGGTAGAGCAATTTTACAATTCATTTGACTTTCAGTTTCAGTTCTCATCAAGCCAATTAGGTTAGGTACCTACCAGCACCTCCATAATCGCTCCCCAAAATGCCCCCTGCCACGAACCTCTTATGAAGAGTTTATAGAAGTGCAGGCTGCAGATTTCCGGCCCATGCAGAGTTTTCAGTTCTTTGGCAATTCCTTAACTCCACTTGGAGCTCACAACCTTCTATTACCACACCATCACATCACAAAATATAATGTGAAAGTCCTTATACACTTTGCTTACACTGCACAAGACACACATCCACAGCACAGTACAGCAACTGAAGCGAGCTGTTCACTGTTACAATTCTCTTTCAAATTCAACTGACACCAATAGCTGGTTACCACGCAACGCGCTAGCAAATGGCGTCAGCTTGTCCCACGAATGGCGGTTGCTGTGGAAACCAGCTGACGAAACTTTACCAGAACCCATTTTCGAACAGGAGTTTTGTTAAGGCGCCCCAAGAATTTGTGCGCCGTTTTTCGAAACATGCCCACCACTTTCGCAGTTTTTCATCCTACATTTTACCTACACGGTGTCTCATGAGACACAATGTTAATCCAATGGGAACTGTCTCGTGGGTGTCTCATGGAGGAGATTTGTAGGAACTGTTTTTGAAGACACGTAAAGAAATGTAATGACCAAATACCGTTGACAGCTGATTGTACCGACCAATTGCTACCAGTTAGCTGTTTTTATAGTCATTTTTGTACAGAAAACACAAACTGAAATCTGTCTCGCGGCTACCCTTTTCGGCTCTTTCCTGTCTCCTACATTGTAGGCAAGTAGGAAGGTTTGTGCACCTCTGTCTCAATGCTTGGAAAACTGAATTAGTGCCCCAGAATGGAAGCCAACCATCCTGTGTTGTAGCACCGTCTGACAGCATTAATTGTCCTCACATACAGATCCTCACAAATCTGCTCCCTGCCGGAGCCTCTCTCAGTCTATTATTCATCTCACAGGGGGGTTGTTTTTGGTAAAGCGCCGCTGCTAAAAGGCTGGAATCGGCTTCACCGAGCCACTCAATCCCCTCGGAGTGGTTTGTTGACGTCGGACCTTGACACTGGAGTGCCAGTTCAACGTCAGTCACTTCAGTCCCTGACCAGTGACCGTGAACGAATTCCCTCCGCTTGCAGTGACTGTTTTCTCGCCGCGGTTCTACGACAAGTTTTACTACACGACCGGCTGGGGTGCGCCCGTTGTCATGACAACGGTGTGGGCGGTCGTCACTGGACTCAACTACGGTCACGTCAGGTAAGTGTGCATGGTAGATGGAAAGAGAGAGAGAGAGAGAGAGAGAGAGAGAGAGAGAGAGAGAGAGAGAGAGAGAGAGAGAGAGAGAGAGAGAGAGAGAGAGAGAGAGAGAGAGAGAGAGAGAGAGAGAGAGAGAAGACGAAGGGCAGGGGCAGAGAAGGAAAAAAGAATGGCAGAGGGGGAATTCCGAGAATTAATGACAGTGGGGAACAGTGGAAGCTTATGAGCTTTCAGCAAAGAAACTGCTAAAAAGGGAAAACTTCGAAAAGGAGCTGGACTGTGAAAAGAAACCAGCTAAGCGAAATTTGGAGCTGCTAAACGACACTTCCATACCTACATAGTTTAGCTTCAACAGCATCACACACATTGATTTTGCTGACAACGGAAGCAACATTAGTTGAATTGAGCATCAAAAGAGGAATGCCCATTCGTTTTAATGAGTTATTCCGTCGGTTTTATGTTCTCGGTTTCGCAATGGATCGATGCAGAAGTTCATTAAAGTTTCACCATTGCAGCATGAAGTCGATCGGTTTGCTGTGTTGTGAGACCGCATCGATTGTAGCTGGCTCGTTGACGCTGCGGTCGGTTGGTGACATTGGTGTCTGTCGGTTTGTTGCAGCTGCTGGTGGAATTATAACCTGACGAACCTGTACTGGATCCTAGAGGGGCCGCGCATTGCAGTCATGGTGGTAAGTATGCGATTGCGCTCAAAGGAATGGTCTAGTCTACGTGAATGCCGAAATCCAGATGGTTTCTTCTGGATGATGATTTCACTTTCGTATGAGTGATTTGGGACAGGCGCGTAACCACCACTGGGGACACTGGGGACCGGTGCCCAGTAACTTTTGGTTTACTGGGGACCGTCCCCAGTAAAACCGATGACCTCCTCAGTTTGCTTATATAGCCAAATATTGTCTCTAAATCGACGTGAAGAGTAATATGTAGTCAACGGAAGACAAAACAATGGATGTTTTGTTTACGGCCAACGCCCGGGTGGGCCCCTCAGCCAATTTCGCCATGGGGCTTAGGGGCTTTTTGGCCACACCAGATTATCTCGAAAGTAAGCAAGCTAGAAAGACGCGGTAAAAAGCAACAGAGAGCTCACTACAGTATCTTTCAAGAATTACCTATGTGATGTTTTATGAGGTCATCGCTGAGGTCACTGGAGGTCACTAAAGGTAAAATTTTCACGAACTTTTGTTCCCAATTTTGACAACTTTTCACAAATCGGCGCATAAGTCAGGAACCAATAGAGCTGCAGTGCTGCGGGAAAGCGCATTCGATAGCTGATTCAAATGCCTTTCTGAGTAATGCTCTCAGCTTTGACCTTGGGTCAACGGCTTAGCTTCCAGGCTAGCGTTTCATTAAAGCCGCTTTTGCCATTGGTGAAACTCGTTGGCTATTTTTCTGGCTGATATTTTTTCACGCCGGCGGATATTTTTCGCCTGATTGGTGAAACTGGTCAGCATTTTTTTCTTTAATAAAAAATTGCGTCAGGCGGCTATTTTTCTGTTGGTATAGCTGACCTCTGGTGACCTGACCATAGGTGACCTGGGGTAAAATTTTCACAGACGATGCGAAATTGAGGTATCATAACCTACTCCAAGTTTCGTGGCGGTGCTCGCTGCGATTTTCCTTACACGCGCAAAAAAAAAACTGGCAGGTCTGGCCAAAAACGCCCCCCTCCTCCTCACTCAGGCGAATGCTGATCCTGAAATATAATATTTGGTCTTCGCGGCCCTCCATGTGGTCCCCAGTAACTTCAGACTCGTGGTTACGCGCCTGATTTGGGATTTGTGTGGTATTTTTCTAGTCAATTAATTGATAGATGTACTGGTACAAAAACGGCACTAGTTGAAAAATGTTGTTGCTGAAAAGTGCTTTCATTTCAGAACATTCTATTTTAAGGTTATACGCTGGCAGTGTTTCTATGCTAGCTAAGAAGGTGTCGTGGAATGTTCACCCCCTTTTGTTTCTTTGCAGCTGAATGTCGCCTTTTTGGTGAACATCATCATAGTTCTTGTAACGAAGATGCGTCAGAGCAACTCGAGTGAAGCGCAACAAGTCAGGTAAGTTCCTACTGAATGTTTTTGTGTGTTTTCTTGCACCGGATAAGTGAGGCGAGCCCGATTTTCGAAGGTTTCTTGTTCTTTTGCATTTGCTTGTTTAATGCTACGCGGGAAACCAGCAATCTCGTTTGACGTTTACCTTAATTGAAGGTCGCTTAGAATTCAGCCAGGCACTTAATCACACTCGCGTGTTATCCAATTGGTTAAGCACTCACCACGCGTCGAATTCCCACGCTTAGAGCCGTCAAATTCCTCGCATCATTTTGTTTTCCAGAGAAGCTGTCGCTCTTAATTTATTGCTCGCTCGGTTCGCGCAAATGCAGTCGTCCTTCCACCGCGGCGCCGGCCGGAATTGACGGAACTGCGGGCGCCGCCCCGCAGTCTGTCGTGGCGCTGGTCGCCACCAGTGCCGCCTGAGCGAGGCCTTGTCGACAGCGACCTTGTCTGCACGTGTGAATATTTCATCAGCCACCTCCCGTATGCAGGCCCGTCATGTAGCGATGGGGCGTTTTGGACGAAATGGCTCACTCTGGTATGCCGGCCCGTTGTCCGGAGTACGGCTGAAAACTGCGAGGAGCGGCCGCAGATCAGAGCTGAGGTGATCGCCGCAGCGTGTATGGCTCGGCCGGCAGCCGCCCGCCGCCCAGAGCCGCTCCGAAAGCGGACCGGAAACGAGCCGTTGTCGGCGCACGTGCCTGCCGAACCGCTCCTTGGACGATCCACGGGCTCATATCTCGCCAAGGCCGCTAGGCGCATTACGCACTGCTATGCTCCAGTACCAAACGCCTGCATCAATGCGTTATGGAACCCCATTACCGATAAATCAAAACACACCGCAAGAATTAACACGGTTCAAGTCCACCTTAACGTAATGAGGCACATTACAATCGTGTGATCAAACGCCAACGCTACTGACTTTCTATTAAACAGTCAACGCTTGAGAAGGGAGCTTTCCGTTTGCATTTTCCACCATGATTTCCCCGTCCCATGGCAGCCTGAATTGGTATGCTGTGCCGCACGGCTCCAGTGTCATGCGGTACAGGATACTCTTCACAAAAGGATTGGGCCGGCAAATACCCGGGCTTTCCCGACGAAACGAGCTGGCCAGACCGCGGCCAGACCGAGATTACAGGGCAATCACAGTTTATTTACCAGCCACCGGTCAATACGCGGCGAGCTAAGTGGGCTGTTTGGAGAAGTTTGCTGGGAGGGCTGTTTTTATTGACGGCTGAGAGACCGCAAGGCGCAAAATGAAGTTGAGCAGGCAAGTAGGTAGGTAGTACACGCTTTGATAAACTTTCTGGAGCTAATTATCTGTTGAAAATTAGTGTGAATAGTTTGCTCATTAGTTTTCACCCGCAGACATGCTCATTGCTCAGATCATATAGCGAAGTGTAACTTGCATTTAACAACTTGCGAACGTTTTACCCTACCATCGCGGCACCCTGAACATTTTCCCCACAAACTCAAACGCTTCGTAAAGAAGATTCATTTAGTTGTATCAATGCGCCATCCATCTTTTGCATATTCAGGTTGTTATCATATCGACTTTCTCGCGAATTAACAAAATAAAATAAAAGACCGTTTGCTTGCCCTTGGTGCGCAGGGGAACCAATGAATTTCCCCAGCCAGCCACTTACAGCCGGTCACCGAATCGTTATTTTGTGAGGGCGCTGCTGGAGCAGTCAGCTCTGAACCGGGATCCCTGCTGTCAGCAGTCGTAGACACATGGCCTCAGGTGACCGGGAACGACCCCGTCTCACCCGTACACAGATGACCGCGAAGAAAACGGATCGGTGGTTTTATTTTGCTAAGCGAGATTGGGTCGGATCAAGGGCGTTGCTGACATTGATTTGGAAGCATGCGATGCGGACGCTGCTCGTAATTTTATCAGTTTGTTATTCTTGGAAGCGCCCTTTCGACGGAAAATTTAGATTTCCTTGGAGCAGGTGGTGATAGGTCTGATGTATAAATATGAAGTAAGATAATAGCAATTTGAAGATATATGTAGCTTGCCGTTGCGGTCAGTCCGTAAAACAGAGTTTGAACTGCCGATTACTTGTTAATCATTAGGCCTGAGGCAAGCGCTTTATGATAAAATGTAAAATTATAATCAAATAGAAATTTAATTCCATGTAGGTATGAATCGAACCGATTTACCATTATTGATCTATTCAATAAAAAGATGGCTGTAAAATGCCCGCTCCACCCTAACATCGATTTACGCCAGGGCAAATGCGGTTTGTATAGGGTATTCGCCATTTTGCCATACCAAAAGCGTGAATGGTGTTTTATTTCGACCATGTGTCACACAGCGCATGACATTTTTACGAAGTGTGATGAATGGTGTCATTTTCGTCAACACTCCCGTTCGTACTCGCGTGCTGGTTTGCAGCTCCGAACGACCGCTGCTCTAATAGGCAAGATGTACGCTTTAGTGTTAACATGTTGGTTGAGGGTATCCAAGCGGATGGGTTTCTATTGACGACAAGAATATTAACTTTTTCCGGCTGCGCAATACAGTTTTTGCCAGGTACAGCAATGTGGAGGGCTTGCGTGAAAGTATACGTTTAATATTTGTGGAAGCAGAAAAGCACGTGAATGAGCTATAGGTGCCATATTTGATGTGATGTGTTTTTTTTTGCTATAAAAAAAACGCAAGTTAAAGCACAACAGCCACTACCTATGTGGCGTCATTATCCCACGAAGCTCCTTGCGTCATACAGAAACTTCGTATCAGCCCTGGCCACCGGATGTTCGGTGCAGCGCAAAAGGTCAACTGATGGCCTTATACGAGTGTATAGCGAACAATGCGCCGCCGCTAAACTCATTAAAGCTTTCAGTGCAAGTGATTTAGAATGTGGTTAAGTGCTGGTGCACCATTTGAAATTCTGTAGAACCTTCGCCGCAGCGCAGAAACATACACTGACAAAGCGTTCATGCATGAGACAATAACAAGTCTAAATGGAGTTTTAGATGACGTCGGTATATGTGTTTCTGAGACGCCTAAGTAGCCAGTAGGTGCCATAAAACGTGTTCGTAAGTGCATTTGAAGTGTGTTCGTAAATGCTCCTGTCCTGACATCCTACAATGAGCGATTTGTTATGACGGAAGATTGCCGCTAAATAAATGAGAATATGGTTCGAACGGTCGATCAATGTTTGTTAGAGTAGTCACGTAAAACATTGTTTCAAACATACAGCGATATTAAATATAATTATAAAAACTTCATTGAAGCTGAACTTCTGACTCTTCCTAGGGCAAAATTATGCATTACCAAAGTACGGCACTGTAGAAAATCATAGGAATCGATTCGACTGACATACGTAATTATTGATCAAATATAAGCGAAACATCACATAGCAGCTCCGTTAGACAGCTCCTACTTTTAGAACCAATTTATCTACAGTAGGGCCAAAGACAGCAGTATCAATAAGCTGAAATCGCTTACCCTCATGCCTCTGAGATCACCGGGGTCACCCACTGACCTCTGCCGCCCCATGTATGTCCACAGGAAGGCGGTGAAGGCGGCCGTGGTGCTCCTGCCGCTGCTGGGGGTCAGCAACATCATCAACATGGTGGACGCGCCGCTGGGCCGCTCGGTGGCAGAGTTCGCCGTCTGGTCTTACCTGACTCACTTCCTCACATCCTTCCAGGGCTTCTTCGTCTCACTGCTCTACTGTTTCCTCAACGGAGAGGTGAGTCGCACCAGAAGGCACGTGAGCCGGTGAGCTGCCAAATGTCAGTAGCTATGACGAGCGGATTGGTACGCAGTGATGTGCTGGTCAATATTTGGTTGCGCGGTTAACCCGCGCCCCTTTGAGGTCTGGCAGGTTCCAGCTGGGGTCAATATGGGGAAGGAATGGTCGATGATGCTGCGTGGTGCAGGGTCAAGACTGGATCAGTTGGTAAATAATTTAAGCAAGCCTCTGAAATGCCGCTAAATATCTCGGTAATAAATGTTCATTCATTCAACCTCACTTACAACATCCAACTGGAGACTAACTCGAATCAAAATCTCGGGATAGTGCCCCTAACTCCCGCTCTCCCTGCCCTGCAACTGATTCGTATTCCTGGTGATACCGCTGGGTTGAGGCTATAGGACAGCCCGGCTTTGCTCGCCCAGCCCTGGATTTCCACAGGCGCCGCCAGCCGCGCCGTGCAGGCTCTGACATCGCTCTCTACCCCTGTCACGTCCCAGGGCTGGGGTCAGGTCACAGGTCACATGTCACCGACCCGCCTGACCTTTAGGGTGACGTTAAGTGGTGTCATCGTGGTAAAACAAATATCAAAATTAAAGCAATGATAACAGTGGTACTGGTTCCCATAGATCCCACTCGGCTGTGGTTGATATCAATTCCCGTCAGACAGCGACTCAGAGCGGGAGATGGAGGATCCCGGCGGTAAAAAACGCCCCGGATGGTCACAGAAGGCCGAGAGATGCCAGGATCAGACCGGCTTTCCAGGATTTGGCCCGTTGGATGGGATGGGCCTATTCGTGATAAGCTTCGTGATACCTCATGAAAACCTCGCCGGAAATGCAATGCTGGTCTATGGTTGGTACCTCCGGGAGGATAATGACTTGCGAGGCATTTGTACGCGATACTTGCTCTCCGCTGCATGATCCTGGCACCTCTCCGCTGCATGATGCAATAATGGCGCGCGTCGAGAACGGTGCACATGCGACCTTTGAAATAAGGTCCTCCGGTGATGATGCAACCAAAACAAGCCATCCAAACTTCTGTTTCTTTCTAAATATTGCATTTTCCGGTTTGTGTCTTTGCCACTCCCCGCAATACAAAAGCATTGCATTTTTACACAAATGTGATGCAAAACAAGGATTTTCTCACCAGAAACAACACAGATTATTTCCCTTTTTGGGACTTTCGAACCGCTTCCAAGCGGTTCAAGCTACAGTTCACTAGGCTTTGATGCAAAAAAACAGTGTAGTACGTGATGAAACGCGGAAGCAATCCGCTTTGCAACTGTGCCTTGTTCAGTGTCGTCAACCCACAATCTTGCTAGGCATAACGCATAGCTGTTTCTTAATGCTTCATCCCCTCGCGTTATCCAGCTGCTCCTATCCACCTATCCCGACCATCCGGAGCCTGCTGATATCGAACCACTCTCATCCCTCCCATTCCCCCGCCATTAGTCGTCCAAGGGCACCGTTTCCGGACCACTCTCCCCAACCCCTTCCCTCCTTCACAGAATGTGTAGTGGGTCCTCTCCCGAAATATCTCGGCACGCGCGCGACCCCGTATCCGATTAGAATGGACATCGGTCGGCCTCGGCCGCGGCGCCGGCTGAGCAGGCCAAGCCGATTCTATTTGGCTGATGAATGGGTGGCTTGTAGAGTAGGAGCAGCTCGTGTGCCACTGGCTATTTGCGAGTCAGTGTGACGGCTGTCCAGGATTTGTAAGAGTCCGTGTGTTGAATTGATGGCGCTGCTATTTTCATGGTAATTTCGTCTCGGAGAGCCTCCAAGTGGACTGCAAAGCAGTTTGTCGTTATTCTTTGGACAATGTGTCGATGAGGCATTTATAAAAGCTGTTGTTGGGCAGCCGTTATTAATTAATCGATTCTCGATTTAGCATCTGAGCTGATTTTACGTTTTCGAGGATACCTATTTGATACATGCGGAAACGCAAGCTGCGCTCATTCGTGCAATTTTATACCATCAAATCGTTTTATTGAGCTGATCGCAACTCTGCAGTGTTCGACACTACCCCCAACACCACCAGCGCTCCACATGCGCTCTAGCTTGCGCTCTAGCCAGCCCTCATCCTCCCCCTCCCGCAGGTGCGTCTGGCCATCAGTAAGATGATCTACGACTACTGCTCGCTGCGCACTGCGGACACCTACCGGCGCGGCTCGGGCTTCTCCAGCGTGTTCCTGACAACAGTCGCTGAGCCGGCTCGCGGTGAACCAGCTCGCTCATTGGTCACCTGTGGCTGTGTGCGCACCAAACCCTCTTCACCGGCCTGCCAGGGGTGAGTGAAGTGTTAGAGGGGAGGGGGGGGGCTGGAGGTCACGGAAACTTTGGGATATTGCATATAACACTGTATGTATACATTGCATAGGTGTAAATTGATGTAAATGATCGTCTTCTAACTTTCGAGCTTTTAAAATGTCGAGTGTTTCCAAATCATCTTAACTGAATTTATGGATAAATGGATTTCAAAGTTTCCGTGACCCGGATCAGCTTTGATCGTCTCTTATCTGCTCTGTCTGCTGTTTCTATAATGTTTATTGTTACTTGTTAGTTGGTAGTGCAAATGCTACTACGTGTTTTGCGAAATGTGAACATGGCCTTAAAAGCTCGGTTAGACATCCCGCTACAGCTTAATTGCTGCTCAGGTTTTTTGCGTCAGCATAAAGAAGATGCTAAACATTTTCTTAGTTCGTTCTATCTATTTCGATATGCATGACTTGATATAATTTTTGAAAACTTTTGCGTGGTACGTACCTATCTAAGACGTGCCTTGTTCTGCATGTTACTTCATCAGTTGACAATTTTGTCAGATGATTACAGCAAAATTGAAAGCAATGATGTGTACGAATTCACGCACGTTACAGTAACCCGGAAATGACGTAAATTCTGTTCTACCTCACTAAACTGTTCAAATTGCTATCTACCGACTCTCACGCGTTTTATTTCATGTTTTCTACTATAACTTCATCTAAGCCCGTTAGCCAGCGACACTAACTTCATTCACTCACGTACAGGAGCAGGAAAATAAAGATCACTACTTTTGTTTTTTAACTGAATTGTAACGGATGTAAATAGCTAACAAAAGCAATTTAGAATTTGCAAATGTACCATAGTGTGTGGAGTGTCTTGAAATTATAAACAACGCGGAGTACATTATTGTATAACGTTTTTGCACGAATGTTGCCAAGATCGAATGCCTATTTTACATGACTTGGTCCCGCTGACAATTTTGGAAATCAGTGTTTCATATTTGTACCCTCTACCCATCATGTTACTCATGCTAAGTGCATGTAGATGTTACTGATCGTATAGACCAGGCCCTGATGTGCTTACCGTTGTTAACTTATCATTACCATCATCAACGGTCAAGATTTTACCTTAGTTGCCGTGCACGTCATCGTCTAGCCCCATCCGCGGCGCGGGCCCGAATTCCGCTGCTCTAAATGTGCCCCAGGTAGTCGGGTCGCAGTCCCGCCGCTCTAAATGTGCCCCGGGTATAGTCGGGTCAGGTCACCGACCGTGTCTGAACGCTCCGTCCTGCTGTGTAGTGTCTGCCGAATGCTGCTGCCAAGCCCGCCGGCCGGGCGCGTGCACACCGAGATCTGAGAGGGCCAGCGCCAGCCCGACGGCGCGCCGCAGTTCGGTGACGTCCTAGCTAGAACTGCATGATCGTCCACTGTGTTAGCTGTGTCGGCTCGACCGGAGCAGGTGAGATCGACGGCGGTAGCCGGGAGATGGGGAGAGACGCTGTGTAAATACGTGATTTTTAGATTTACGAATGTACCGTTGATCGGTCGCCGTGTAAGCATTGTCTGGGCCAAAAGTCATGTTCCCAAGATGCCAAGGGTTCAGTTATGTGCATTAGAGTGTTGGATACCTTCATTAACAAGCAGGTCATGTGGATGGTATTGCATTGTAGCTGTATCTACCTCACATTCACTCCTCACTCCTGGCTTTTTTGCGGATATGTGGTGTCGACGAAATCAGCTTGAGCCAGCATCCGTCGGCAGGCGGTAGATCGGAATTAGCACTCTGGGCAGTCCCAGTGGGACTGCTCGCTCTCCCAGCGTGATGAGGTCAATCCCGCGTCGGCTCCCTCCCCCTCCTCGAGGTCGTGTTTTTACGCAGCGCTCTCCCCGGCAGGACTCAAGTCTGATCTCATCGTCACCTATCGCCGGTCAGTGGTAGCTGCAGTTGCGTCATTGGCCACCAGGGCGGCGCTGCCCGCTCGGGGTGCGGCAGCGCCCGGGGGAGACCGGGCGGCCAGGGCTTGCCTCGGACATGGATGAAGTATGCCTGGATAGGACACTCCCTATTCCCCAACACTAGCGCCGGCGACCAAGCGGCCGCCTTGGTGGCGGAGCTCCGAAACATCGGCGGCGAGTGCGCCGGCGGCCGCCGCACCGGCTTGCGTGCTAAAAACGCGGTATTGGAGGGCGAAATTAGCGAACTTTAAGCTCATAAGACACGATTTCAGAGACTTCACACATATTTTTAGTTCTTTCTTATAATTATTATGGCTCCATTTAGTCACTATCACATACGGAATCATTACCTGATGCCCATAAACTGAGCCGGTATTCTTGACTTGCCGATGCAATTTATCATCAAATATCATCGTTCCTCGGCAGTCAAACAAGTTCCTATTGATGATTTAATACAAATATCAACTTATTTTCATGTTATCGCATAAAACTTCACTTTATTCTAACATTGGCTCTTCGGCTGTAATCACGAACCCTCACTTGTCAGCAGAATTTAAGCAACTTCTTAAATCAAAACTGGGAAAATAATATTTTCATGACATTCCTCAATTCCTGTTCTACCAGGTTCACAAAATTTTCATCAAAATCGGCTACAGGTAAGTAATAAACGACAAAAGTATGCAAAAAGACACGCTCCGCCCATAGCCCGTAATGCTAAAATAGCGCCAGCGCCCTCGCCGTCGGGAAATCCGCCGCCGCCGCCGGGTGGTCGGAAAATCGGCGGAGTGTCCCATCCAGGAATACCTAATCCATGCCTCGGATGACCTGACGAACAGACTGAGCAGTGAGCCACTTATTCATAGAGACTCTCCTGGCGACACATCCATAATGTTCATTGTACTCATCGCAAACATGTACCATTCATGTGCTGAATCGTTTTTATTTATTGTATTTATGTCATACGTCATGTCGATGGCTTGTTCCGCCCTTCAGCGTTGACCGGTGGACTGAAGAGCATTACGCTGGCTTGTGCAATGTATATACTATGTATCTACAGTATACTATATGCCATACTAGATGTAGTCACATTGTTCGTCCAGTGTGTGCGGCTTGTGTAAGCTCACTGTCGCTTGTAATCACATGTGTGATGTTGTCAATATTTGTCGCCGTCGAAAAGTAGCCGAGTAGACGCTATTTTATCGCGACAGCCGCAAAATGAATCGACGTACTAACGTACTAAGTCTCGCTTCTCCTTCACATGTGTACGGGTATGAAAGGTGTCGTTCCTTTTTTGCTAATGCTTATTCAACGTTGAACGTGATTGTGAAGGAATTTTAACATTGGTCGTTAGTATGCTGGAAATATAACAGAATACATAACCGCAAAGTTATAAAGAAAGCCGGAATCAAGTATCACTGTCTTGCCATAAGCCAATAGTCTTAGTGAAATACGGTTTTGAGAGGGATCTAATGTTTCGTTTCAGTCTGACGTTGCGTTTTGTAGCACTTTTGACAGCTCTCTGACGATTAAACACGTTTCTGTCCGATTTATAATTTGTATGTGCTTATGATATGATTGCTAATGTGCACAAGCTTCATTGATTTTCTTCTTCTTTACTCCTTACTCGCATTTTTTATTTTGCGTAACCGTATGTTAAGTCACATGCGGTCCAGTGATTTAGAGCACCGAGCCAGCATTTGTCAAGTGTGACAGAGTTCAATTGGAGCTCATGAATCGCTGAGAAGTAGATCTGACATTTGTTAAGTGTAATCAATGGAAACTGAGACGTATTAATGGCTCGCCGATCCGACAATGTATTGTGTCCATGTGGCGACTTTCGACTCATGTTCGCTTTTCTTTCCCAAGCATTGCGTTCTTTGTCTTCGCAATGTGAAAGTGAGAGGTTCGGAAGGGTCATCTTGGTGTAATGCCGCTGTTTATTTTGATGGTGCTTTCTGTACACCTTTGTTTCATAATATAAGCAACGGAACCTGACAAAGAGAGTATTTGATGTAAATTTCTTCTTCTATGCTAGCTTACACAGTCGGAGCATTTATCATTTTTACAGAGTATAGGTGCCTGTACCATGTGTTTTCAATAGCACGTTACCATCACCTTTTTTACCCCTCGGTTGCTGAAATTTCTGCTCATCCCGTTCCACCCTCTCTAACTGCACGTTAGCCGTCCCGGATGCTAACACAGGATAAATCAGCAGTGTAAACAGAGACCGTCAGAAGGCGTGTGATCCGAATTACAAGTGGAGCCGAACAGCGCCTCGTGGGGGCTAAAAGGATTCCACAAACAAGCACCAGCGCCCGCGGGAGAGACGGTGCTGATTTCCGACACGTACTCGGCCTTGATTTTATCCTGAGATCTTGGAATGAGCAGCAATTGGGGCCTTGGGGTTCTGTGCAGGTTTGGTGATTAGTATTGCTTGTTACAAACGATACGTTATCCGCTGTTGTCAAGAAAATCCGATAGAAGAAGAAAATGCGGTGCATGTTTTTTTTTGTTTTTTTTTTCTGGCATGTCGAGGACAAATCAGATCTTCTTAATTGCCCGCATTTTGGCCTGTACAAATGCTGTGAAGTGTTAGGCAGACATTTTAGGGCCTTTATGCAAAAACATTTAAGTTTGCAAAAGCATGATCGCGCAATTATTACTTTTACCTTAGTATGTCACATGCTGAGTCGAGACAAGACGACCCGCTTGACGCATTTAATCACTCACAGCACGTCATACATGTGCAGCAGCTTCCCCCCCCCCCCCCACCTACTCCTTAAGCCCCTGGCTGAGCTCGATGAGCCCGCAGCCGACCCTGGCGCCGGCGTTGCCCGTTTTCTTGCTCTCCTCGTCTCCACCTAGACCGAGGTCGTCCTCCAGAGCGTGGATGACGATAGCACGTCCCACGATCACGTTCTCGCTGTGAAAGAGGAACACTTGCCATTTAGGGTTGTGGAAATAAGACATACAGCATTGAATGGATAGGGTGAGATCGATAATTGTGAGCCTTGTCGTAGCTTCATCACTCAGATTTGACCAATTGAAAATGCTCGGATATCAGCAAGAAAATAACGAAAGGAACCAATATTGGGACTGCACTGACCTATCATAGATGAGCGTCTGGAGTTTGTCCTGAAGCTGGAAGTCGGCCGTGCCCGTTTCGTCGGCCACCACGTTACCCAGGTCAGCCACGTGGCGCCGGTCCTGGGGGCAGGTGATCAAACCAGGCGGTGAAGATCGCGAGTCCGATAGAGGGAGTTACAAGTGTTGTATATATAATCATATAACATATAAAAATGTAGCACATCATGTAAGCTTTGTTTCACCCAGCTTTGTTTGTTTTATGCAAACCCATGTGTACATTTTGAATCACTAATATCTTTTTGTGAATATCTTTTCGTAACTATCACAAAAAATGTGAAAGTAAGGACTGGTCAGAAGTGATCTGTAAATCCCGGCCATCAGACCGGCCTGCATGCACCGCCCTCTCACCGCGAGGTTGGGGTGAGCGCCGTGGTCGCTGCCCGCCGGGTTGAAGTGAGAGCCGGCGTCTGAGCACGCGCTGGTCAGGTTCCCGTTCTGATGGACGTGCAGCCCGTGCAGACCCGGCGCCAGGCCCGAGATGCTGCCTGCGGGAGGATGATGGAAGCTTAGATTGCGGTATATTGAACATTGAAGGGTTACACATTTTATGGGCCTTATGTACGATGTCGTATTCTTCGACTCAGAGTTCTTGAGGCTCATTTTCAGCATGCAAATTCCCCTTGACATGGTTATCTGTCCGATATAACTAAATACAAAATCAACGTCACGGCAGCGTGCAGCACCTCTCTAGATTACATCTAGTTGGTCTGGACTCTGGAGCTCACCTGAGATCTGGACTGGCTCGGTCTCGGCGGTCTGGTAGAACATCACCAGGCCCGAGACCCCCGCGTCCGTGCCCGCCTGGATGACGGCCTCTGCCTGGCGCGACGCCGACACCTGAATCGAGCCCAACCGGCGGTGGAAGTGCAGAGAGTGGATGAGAAAGGTGTCAAAGATCGTCGGCACATCTTTAAGCCTAACTTGTAATATAATTATTTTGTAAATACCATGACTTGCGTTGCTTACATGAAGCTATAGACGATATTCTTGACAGATGGCTGACATTGCATTGTGAAAGTGAACCAAAATGATCGCAGCAGGCTGTTATGCGGACGAAGCAAATGCCGTATTTTTTATATGAAAGAGGCTTGACGCATTCACATCTATTACGCGGGCCTGACCTCGATCGCGAGTGCCAAGGCCGCGAGGGGTGGCATTTGTCCATCAGTGATTGTGGTAGGAGTAGGTAGCGCTGATTGAATAGCTTGACTGCTATTGAATTGCTCAATGGACATCACGACAAAGTGGACATCCTGGACATTCAAAAGTAGTTGTAGTCTCTCTTTCCGGCAAGAACAGTAGAAGTTATGGATCGTTTAAAGTGACCATCCCACATTAACATTAGTTTTGAGTTGAGATAGCCAAATTGGTGGCCATGGCCTGAAAATACCGGTTTGGGCACTCACAACATCGAAAAATGCTTTGATTCGGAGATATGGAATTTCAAAATCGCAGTTTTCGGATTCTAAGGGGCTAATGCATTGGTATGCCCCCTTAGAATTTGTGACGTCAGCGGAGATTTAACGATTTTTAAATCTTTTACTAAAACGTTTGGTAGCCCGCGGTGGTATATGCTGCTTTGCGCGCAACAAATGCCGCACTTTCAAATAAAGTCGCTAGAAACAGCGGAGATCCCAAAAAGTAAACAAAAGCAAAAGTCTAATATCTTGAAAACCGGTGAATATTTTTCGATGAAATTTGGTAGATATTCGTTTTCGCTCTTTCTGAACCGAGCGACATCACTTTCATGCCAATTCATTAACTTTTTTGAAGGTGGGACTGGGAGGGTCCCTTTAAGGTAAGCGGAATATTTTTCGCTGTTCCCTTCACTTGTGCGTGCTTCCCCGGACGCAATGAGCTGACCTTCCGACTACATTATCCAGTACTGTTTTCTATAGAGAAGACCAAAAATGTCAGTACAAATACAATAGGATTTACGGCGCAAAAAAAAAACGTTTGGTATGTACGACGTTAACAAATCTATAAACGTGCATTAAATATAAGCAAGCATGCATTATGTTGATGCCGATGGTAAGTAGAATAAATATCCAATCGTATTGCTACTCACCCGGTCAGCTACCAGTGTGACGAGAACCGTACTGAAACAGACGCGTAAGGGTGAAAGGAATTCCTAATGTAAACTGTGAGGGTTAAAGTGCTACAGATTTAACATAACTAAGCTTCAATGACTAGTTATCATTGGGGCAAGGAGAGGACGTATACTTACCAAATGACAAAGTTCATGTTTGACTGCATTGGATGATTTATGCCCTCGAACACGCCAAACAGCGATCTGTTGAATGCGGCCATATTTAGTACACATTTTTAGACCATACGCACATTGAAGCTTCCAACATAAAAAGTCCTTTGGTGTGCTTTAAGTGAAAAAGCATGCTACATTGTTTCTCTGTTGCAGGTAATAGCCATCTTGTACGACGTGTAATTTATGCTTAGCAGTAACAAATTGCATATGCTCTTTCAAATGTTTGCAAAAAATATACGCTGAAGTGGCTGAGCTCACAGAGTCTGCGTACACTTACTATACGGCAGAGCGTGCTTACTGTCTGACGCGGAAGCAGTCGTGCGTATTTGTATCCTAATCTGAACAGCTGCTGCCATTCTCACGAGAAAACTACGCAAAGAAAGCATGACACGCATGTGAAATGTGCAGCTGTGTTTGATTCTGGAATGACAAGCGAAACGTGCTGTGACGATGCTCTTTATAGCAATGAAATGTAATATGAGCGACACTCAGCGCCTGGTAAGATCCTGCGGGCGGCGAGTGTAGAAAACTGGTACACTTCCTTTGAAGAATGAAGATGGTCTGATCTTATCCGAAGATGATGGAAAGAACGATTGAGTTCATAATGAACAAAACGCTCCTATTTGCTGCCAACTTCATGAACACTCTATTTGAATTTACATCAAGACCCATTTTATTCCATAAACCACACCCAATCGCAGTACGAACTCCACTGTCGTCCGTGCATCGCTACTTTCGTTCTCGCCGATAGATGTCACTAGTGGTAGGCGCCTGCATCTATACTGTGCCGCATGACATAAGCTGAATTACCTATGCTCAAAAGCAGACGAAGTGCGGACTGTGGCAGACAAGGAGGCGGCCACTTTAGGCATGTCAATGAACAAGTCCTGGAACATTACGGCATCATATTTCTAAAAAGCTCCAAATTTATATATTTTTTTGTGAACAACATACATTCCTTCGCGCATGACACGATCACACGATCATGAATATTCTTGGACTAGCAAACGACGATGTCACCTTACCTTCGCATGTGATGTATGTAACAAACACAACGCATATGTCTATAAATAATCTCAGCTCTCACTTCCTACGTCACACAGCGAAACTGTACCGCGCTGTGTTTCCGTTACGTAAAAAGTGACCGATAACATAGGTGCTTCCGTCGTGTCAGCGTTTCTGACCCGTGGGACCTGCAGCATACGCGGCCGTATTATACAAACGGACCAGAGTAGTCAACTGAGGACATGTTAGGACACTTCTTTGCAGAGTGGCCTCCATATCTTCCGACAATAGAGATATTCTACTGAATATTCACAATAAGTTATCGCTTTCCCATCAACTCCTCTCTCTCTCCCTCATTCTCTCTCTCTCTCTCTCTCTCTCTCTCTCTCTCTCTCTCTCTCTCTCTCTCTCTCTCTCTCTCTCTCTCTCTCTCTCTCTCTCTCACTCTCTAATTCTGTCTCTTTCCATGCTCAGTCAGTCCTCACCTTTCCTCAGAGAACGGTGATGTACATCTGGTCCTCTCTCCTCACTGAGGGAGGACGAGGGGCCCTCGGTACCCCCAGGACCAGTCCCCCGTTTGCCGTGCGCCGCCGGTCGGCTGAGGTGGGCTCTGCCGTCCTCTCTGGCTGGACTGATGTTCTGTGAAATATCACAGTTTTGATGAGGATAGTTAATGATATGCAATGAAATGCATGTTTACCTGCAATTTAGACCGTGTTTTTAATTTTAGGTTAAAACCGTTAGCACCAGTGTTCAGTAAAGGAAGCAATTTACCTATTCGCTGATGTTTTTGAACTTACTGCGTTATTGGCGCTGTATACAATCCAGTTTGCAACTATGTTGTTACTGTTCATTATATCGCAGAAGAAGAAAAAAATGTGCGGCTTCCTAATCATCAAGTCAAAACGTCACCATCTATATTATTTGCCATCTGTTATGTACAGGTCCGTACCTTCGAGCGTCGTTGACAGATGCGGACGACGTCAGTTGGTATCGACTGCCGGGAGTCTCGGCAGTGTTACAGGCACAGCAGTGGTGGCCGGTCAGTCCGGGAGGGCGCGGTCTGAATCGAAACACGGGCCATCGGATCTGAAACACGGGCACCAAATCTGGGTCACGGGTCATTGGATCTCAGGCACGGACCATTGCATCATATGGGGTCGGCGGATCTGAAACACGGGCAGCCGGATTTGAAACATTGGCATCAGATTTAAAACAATTTTCAGTCAATCTTCTCAAACCAGAAGTACTAACCACGAGTGACATCAACAGATGGACAGCGCAAAGTAACTCTGTCTTCATCTCGTCTCTAGAGACGTGGAGCGAGTCCGTACGCTATAACTCTCTTTCCGGCCTTTACGTACGCTGTGACTCTCGCTCGGGAGACGGGGTCGGGGCTGGTGCAGGGTCTCGGGCAGCAGCAGTGCAGCTCCAGCTCCCAAACCGTGCAGGCCAGCCAGCGTCGCCAGCCGCCATCCGGCTGAAAAGACAGCACCGGGCGCAGCCACCTCAGTCAGTGATCAGGTGACTTCCCGACAAGATGCTGAATGTTGTTAATTAATTTAAGGCTTTAGGTGATGTTTTAAGCTGCTCTAGATCACGTGTGCA